TGAAGGCAACTGTCCAGGCAGCTGACTGGAAAAACGGAAATCTCGGAAGGAGACGCGGAGACGGCCTGGCCAGCCGGCCACGTCCCCGAGAATCGGCATCACGAATTACCGTCGTTCACAAGTACTGGGCTCCTGTGTAAGGGCAACGCCGTACAACAGCAGCAACGTTCGAGGGGGCGGAGAATCAATCCCGTTTCCCCGAAATCGACAAGATGCGCGGAAGATCGGCGCGGGATTCGAGGGCCTTACGAGCACAGACGAAGATCGTCACTGTATGGTGAGCTAGTGACCAGTGCACAGCAACCAGAATCCGGAAGAGACGACCCTGAGGGAGCCGCCACCAACACTAATTGTAAGCCGTCGCACAGGTAGCCGACTAGAAAAATTACTCCGGGATCAGCTGGTGTCATCGTGTCGAGATACCATCACCGGGCGGCTATCGTACCGTAAAGAAAAATTACCGAGAAGTTGAAAACTTGTACCGTAATTATCGGACGCCAGCTGTCACCGGGGTCGCGGAATTGTCCCTCTCAGGGGTGTTCGTACCGACAGTCCGTAGTATTATGTATCGTTTCCGTACCGTTTAGAATTGTATCGTTTCTGTTAACATTTTTCTGGTATCGATACTCCGAGCGTGACGCGGCGATTTTTGATCGAGTATATCGCATACCGGAAGGCGGGATTTGAGCGAGTAATTTCTTCGCGAGCGTGTGTTACCGGAATTAAGAGAACGGCTCTGCAAGAATATTGTTCTACGCGAAATCTCCACCGAAAAGTATTTAACGTACCGCTGGTTCGAAATTTCCGTTACGCGGACGTCGTGCTATTGTTAACGAAACAAAAGGTCGTGCTGCGACCGTTACATCGGGTAAACAATTTCTGTCTATCTCCTTGACACTACCGTTAAAGAAAGCTTTTGTTTTTCATCAAGACTTTGTCGAAAGTCACCGTTAATTGCCGTAAGAAAAGGTTCGATTCGAGTTATATCGAACTTTTATAAAATACGGATACCGTCTATTTCGGGTTAAAATTCTGTTTCTTAGTGGTCTATTGTTCGTTACCGTTAATTATTGTTGAGCGTAAAAGTTACCGTCACAATTGTATGCAAAGTCAGGTTCGATTTATATCGATATTGAGCACGAGGCTCGCGCCTCCAGGAACGTTCGTAAATCATCCGCGTATAAACGTCTGATCATAAAATTCCCGTACACTCTGATTACCGTTAATTGCGTGGATTACCGCCATAAACTAGTTGAGAATTATACCGAAATTTGTTAGCGAGACGAACGTCTCGGCATACGAGCCGAAATCAGACGTAATTCGTTCTCGAGTTTGGTAGAGATTTCGCCGCTAATGTTCCCGGCCTTCGATTACCGTCATTATCGAAAGGCTAAACTATTTTTTAATACCGTTTTTTTTTCCTTTTCTTTTATTGCCGACTCAGAGTCAAAATTTCAAGTAGCCTCTCTGAGAGTATTGTATCTGACCTTCGCATCAGCCGTTATAGCGTGTCCATTGTTTCCGCAATTTATAAAATAACCGTTAGATTTTCGAAATTTATCTGCTTTCTTTTATTATTTTATCTTGTGCCTTGCGTTCTTGTATATTTACCGGTATATTTACCGAGTTTATCGCTATTATATTAAATTTGTCGCTATTAAATTAACTTTATCGCTATTATATTGAATTTATCGCTATTATATTAACTTTATCGCTATTATATTAAATTTTATCCATATTATATTCAAGTCGATTATACTGTTCATGGTGTGTGTATTCTAACATTTCAATATATGTAATTAATTGTGACCAAATAACTGAGTAATCATTTCTCTCGCCTAACAGTAATCTAGCGCTCTCTCCCCCTTACTGTAACTAATTCACAAAGAACTCTGCCCCTCTGCCATAAACTGAGCTTGCCGTTACCGTTTCGATATCGTGGCGCGGAAATACCGCACCTGGCGCCCATATTCTATCTCCTTTTTTTGTGGAGATTCGGTTACCGTACTTTACCGCCATTTTAAGATACCGTACCGCCATTTTGAGATCCCGATACCGCCAATTACCGACACCGCCAAATTTGCACGCCACCTCCTCGGGAGCGGCGTTCCCGAGGCGGGCGACGGCGTCGCACTATATTATCTTTACAGAAAGATACATGAGAAATTGGACAAGATATTACAGCAGACGAGCAATAGAAGCCGAAAGCATACACCTGAAAAGCCAGCATTTTTACCAATATCATCAATAGCGGATGTTGAAAAATTTGAAACTGCTAATGATGAAGAATATATGACATTGGTATGTGAAACAAATAAGTTTATCATATATACTTATGTATAATAAACTTTAGTAAACTAAACGTAGACACATATATAAATAGAAATATAAATAACAATATTTTTTAAATAGGTGAATTATTTGATTTTTATTGGTGGCTTCAATGCCAAAGAGAGCATACATTTATGCGTAAAAGAGATTTTTCAAGATCGCTTAATGACTTCATACACTTGGTTTGGTCGTGAAAATCAACGGCCATTATTTAATACCCGCTTGGTTAAAGCTATTTATGGTATGATATTATTATACTGATACTAAATTTAAGTTATCAATGATATTTTAATACAATGTTTTGCAGATGCTGTATGCGAAAATAAAAATTTTGAAAAGCCGATGCGGGCTACATTCCAAATGTATATGAGAGATGCTGTGCGAACAGCCAAACAAAGAAACAGAAATAAAGTCCGTAACAACTTAGATCGTGCACAAAGAGGCCATCAAAATAAAAGAGCACATGATCTGTGGAACGACGAACACGACGAACACAACGAACACGAGGACGAGGATGAGATAGCACAATCAGAAGGAACAGAAGAAAATTAGGTCAGTTTTGTAGGAATATACATATATCTTTTATAACATACATATTTTATATGACATTTAGTCCCGTATATTGTTCACCGATTGACAATGATTATATATATATATATATATATATATATATATATATATATACATATATATATATATATATATTTTACATATATAAATTTGTTAGAAAATTTGAACATATCATTGTTAAGCAGTGTTTATTTTCTAATTTATCATTTACATTTTGCAATATTAATAATCGATTTATTTTTTCAACTTTGTTACAGGCATTGCAGGAAAAACGTATATTGCACAGTGTTGCTGGACGGGCTGGATTTTTCTGCGCATGCGTATGTGCAGAAATACTTATCCTGTTCAGCAACACCTTGCAATATACGTTTTTCCTAATATTGCAGATTGAAAAAAGAAGAAAAAGCAGAAGCGGAGTGACCTGATATGAAGACATAAAAAAACGGCATTTTTCAATGTCAATTAGCACTCTTCATTGGCTTTTAAATAAGCACTGAAAAGTGCCATTTTAATTATTTTACGATGGAATACCGCTTGATTCACTTTATATCGGCACTTTTCAGAGCCACTAACAGGAAAATCACTTTTCTTTAAATCGGCACTTTTTAAAGTCATAACTAAAAAATGCATTTTATATATATGTGTGCTGCAGAAATAAATAACGCACGTAGCGCGAATATACGTATACTTGTATATATATATATATATATATAAATCTTTTATATGTCATATAACATAATGTAAAAAAATTTATTTTATTATATTCTCGTAAAACATTAATTATATGCAATATTTTAGATACATTAATGGGGATTTTTATAAAAGATACTTTAAAGATGGATTATCTCATGATCATGCATGGTGTCAAAAAAGAAGATCATTTATTTATGGCATTAGTTGCATCTATATTGCAGAATGCTGCTGGTGTTAAACAAGGCTGTGGAATAACGGATGATATCATGACAGGTACAAAAAAACAAAATATAACATGGTCCTGGAAATAAATATAATATATAATATAATAATAATCTGATATGATTTTTGGGATAAATTAAAATTACAATATCGAAATTATTATTCAATGATGTTACAGGCGAAAAATATTATTTTGGATTATGGAATAACGATTTGAAACATGGCAATGGTTTAATTGTAACACTTGATGGCATTTATTATGATGGAGCTTTTACGCAAGATGTCCTAAGGTGACTATACATTCACGAATCTCTTCTTAATATAAGAAACATTGAAGATATAAATTATATTGATAATTGAAATATAATATTGACATTGTGTATGTCTGTTGAAGGGTTATGGAGTTATGATATTCGAAGATGGCACGCATTATTAAAGAAAATTTAAATCTGCAGGGATAAAAGATTTCATTTTTTAAAAATTTATAAATCACAATAACATTTAAGCCCATTGAAGAGAAAGTTTGTAACAGCATAATGTGTTAAATATAAGTCGTATTTTTTAAATATAATGTATGTAATTTATATGCAGCTGAATCTATAATAATTCTCCATGAGATTTATAACTATTTACATAGAAAAAAATGAAATATTATAGATATGATGTAAAAGTTACGCAATATGTTAATGTGGATGTATAGATCTATATATGTACCTAGTTATAGTATCTCTGATTTCTATTTAATTGTTATAATATGCCTTTTTTTAAATGTAATATTCTTCAAATGATAGCATTATATGTGTATATGCATATGTTTATATACATACATACACACATAGTGTGTTTAAAAAGTATATATATATATATATATATATATATATATATATTTATTTATTTATTTATTTATTTATTTATTTTTATCAATAATATAATTCTTATCAATATATAAAATAGTAAATCTCGTCATACACGGCGTGATAGCAAATTTGTGGCAGAAATAGATAAAAGCTTATCGTAATAATGCGAATCGTATAAATTATTAATGAGTCCCATTAAACAGGTTTTAATAAAATTAATTAATTTTACATTAACAAATAAATAAAAATAATAATTAAATTAGAAAACAAAAAATAAGAACATTTCTAATCTAATTATTTTTATTTATTTGTTGATGTAAAATTTAATTAATTTTATTAAAACTTGTTTAATGGAACTCATTAATTTATACGATCCGCATTATTACGATAAGCTTTGTCTATTTTTGCTACAAATTTGCTATCCTGGCATGCGTGGCAAGGTTTGCTCTGTTCTTGCCACAAATTTGCTGTCATGCTATGCAAGGCAAGGTTTGTTCTATTCTTGCCATAAATTTGTTATCCTGCCGTGCGTGGCAAGGTTTGCTCTGTTCTTGCCACAAATTTGCTGTCATGCTATGCAAGGCAAGGTTTGTTCTATTCTTGCCATAAATTTGTTATCCTGCCGTGCGTGGCAAGATATGCTCTATTCTTGCCACAAATTTGCTGTCATGCTATGCAAGGCAAGGTTTGTTTTATTCTTGCCATAAATTTGTTATCCTGTCGTGCGTGGCAAGGTTTGCCCTGTTCTTGCTACAAATTTGCTGTTGTACTGTACATCGCAAAATTTGCCGTATTATTTACGTGAAATATGCGTCATGCTATTGCGACAAGCATTGTCAGCAAAAGATAAGCTTTTTGCGGACACACCTTGTCGTAATTTTGCTACAAAGGCATGCTCGAATTTGCTGCAAACTTTACGTAAAGTTTGCATCATTTTGCTATCTGGGTATATACTGGAAAGATTTATAAATAAATTTAACAATTAATTTTCGGTTTGAATAATATAACAAGCACAACGAAATAAAGTGTGAACAATTTTACCGATGTAATAATAATCAGAAGACAGGCATAGACGATAATCTTGCAAATTTGCACAAGTCACATTAACAAAAAAACGTTATTTAATTAGATTCGAATTTGAGAGAAACTGATGCGTCCGTGTGAGACTTTGTCAAGAAACTAAACACAACCAGATGAAAAACGAGACTACGTGACCTTTATTATTTTGTCATAAATGTTGTTTAAACTATCCGTGTCTTTCTGTAGGTTGATTAGATTATTAAATCTCTTGATAAAGAACATCTCAGCGATCTCTCTCTTTCGAACATACTTTTTGCTATGCAAAATATTGGGTTTCGACCAGTCAAAATCATGTCCGGATTCTAATCTATGTTTGCTAATGACCGAGTGATTAGTTTCATGTAACTTTATATTATTAAAATGTTCTTTCACTCGCGTACGTAAATGTCTTTTTGTTTGCCCAATGTATGATAAATTACAATCTTTACAATTTAATTTATATACAACACTTGTCTTATCATTATTATGTAAGCTATCTTTACCGCGTCTAATTAAATTATTTAGTTTTTTTGTTATTTTGTAGACGACGTTAAAACCACTATTTCGTAAAAGACGGTACAGATCATAAATAAAATAAAATAAATAAATCATACTTAATAAAAGAGTAGCTGAGAAGGAGAAAATGTTAAAAGAACAAGCTCAAGCCTTACAAGTTAAACAACAGGAATTAGCTATATTACAACAGAATATCGAAAGTAGAAATGCTAATGCTGACAATGGACAGATAGATACGATACTAATCGCACTGCAGGAACAAATCTCTGCTTTAAGTTCCTTACCTTTCCAGATAGAAAATTTAAATCAACGCGTTGCCCAGCTTTCCACCTCGAACGCAGATTTACCTTCTACTCAACAGACGACTTACGACCATATCCCCGTAAGAAATCCCCTTATAGATCCAATCCGACGGACACTTCTCCGATTCGTCTTAAAGATGTAGTTGATTCGATCCCAAGATATGACGGACACAATATTTCGGTCTTCCATTTCACTAAAACATGTGAACGAGCTTTAGAATTAATCCCTTGTTATCAGGAATATCATTAGGTACAATTAATAATTAATAAACTACAAGGACTATGCCGCTATCGAGGGTACAGAATGCGAAACTATTATCGAACTTACCAAACGATTGAAAAGTATTTTTGACCCCAATAAATCTATCGATCAATATCGCGGTGAATTAGTGAACATTTATATGAAACCGAATGAAAATATTTTTGATTACATTGGAAGAGTAAAAGAATTACGCACTGCTATTATTGACGGAGAAACTAGTCCTAGTGGATATATTGATGAAATTGTAAAACATCAAATTGAAATGAGTGTTAAAGATAATTTTGTAAACGGTCTTCCTTCCGATCTTCTAATCCGCGTTAAATTAGAAAGATATTCTTCATTAGATGACGCTAATTATATCCGCTATACAACTTTCTAAAACTTTGGAAGCAGAAAATGCGCGCAAACGAATTACATCATCTTATAAGCCTAATACTTCGCCTCGTGCGGATTTCACAAAGCCTCCTCAACCTATTAACCAAACACCCAGTAATAATCCTCAACAATTACCTCTTCGGACTAGCGCAACTCCCTTTATAAAACCCCTCATTCCTGGAATACCCGGTCCTAATTTTCCTGCCTGGAAAATTTGCCGATATTGCAAAGCTCCTAGACATCTAATCGATGAATGCCGGAAACTCGCTTATAGGCGATCAGTTGAGAATAATCCTTCACAATCCTCTACTAATAATGTTCAAAGTAATCCGGGAAACGCACAGAGCGTTCCGGTAACCATCGACGTCCGCCAGAACGAAGCTCAAATTGGACGTCCTCAACAAGCCCCCATAACCATTGCGCTACCTCAAATCTCGACAACTGTCCTATCTCCTGTACCGAATCAATAAATGAAAACGCAAAATATAATAGTCTACCTTCCGTCATTCTCTCTTCTACTGACTTGAAAAATACATGCTTTTTCATGATTGACTCTGGTTCCGGTGTTAACCTAATAAAACAACACCTCATTAAAGCAAACGTTATTATAAATAACGAAAAAACATTATCCCTTCAAGGTATATCTTCTAAACCTGTCCCTACTCTAGGTTTTGTTACTATTCTTCTACTTAACCGACCCACTAATTTTTACGTGATTCCAGATACGGTCAGTTTTCCCCAGGACGGTATCTTAGGGAATGCATTTTTAAAAGAACGAATGGCTAAAGTAGATTATAAAAACAAATTGCTGCATTATGACGACTCGAGCATTTCATTTTTAGAAACAACTCTTATCCATATCAAGAAACGGTCTGTTACACCATTTTTTGTCCATGTTGCTAATTCCGAAAAACAATACGGGTATATACCGCGCTTTGTATCGTTCGAAAAGGTTTATTTCGGAGATGCTATTGTTAAGAACACTAATGGAAAAGCTTATCTACCTATTTTTAATACTTCTGAATCAGAATACGATATAAAAGTTCCCGTGGTTGACTTACAAGACTTCCATTTTCTCAACGAATTCACATCCCCATGTAATGTCGTCAAATCCCGAGGGAATGAGACTAGTAAGGGGTCTCATAATCCAATTATAACCTCTTGTAAGAAAACCGACTTTAAAGATATCACCGCGACCTTAAGGCTCCCAGTGATCAGTAATCATATTATAAACAATTTCGAAAACCCTCTGTATTTTATCAAGACTCAAAATAACAATACTTCTGAGGAAGTTTACTGCGACCGCGCGTCCGCTGTTATGCAACTTTTGCGATTAGAACATTTAAATTCCGAGGAATCTGATAATGTCAAATCGCTAATTCTTAATCATTCTGATAAATTTCATCTCCTTTATGACAAACTCGAAGCTACTAACGCTACTCAACATTTCATACCTACTACAGACGAAATCCCTATCCATACGAAACAATACCGATTTCCTCCGATACATAAGGACGAAATTAATAAACAAGTTAACGAACTCTTGTCTCATGATTTAATCGAATACTCTACCTCTCCTTATAATTCCCCCGTATGGATAGTACCCAAAAAACCAGATTCTTACGGTAATAAGAGATGGTGAATGGTCATCGATTACTGTCGCCTCAATGAAAAAACAATAGGAGACGCTTATCCTCTCCCTAATATAACCGATATCCTTGATCAATTAGGGTCTGCCAAATATTTTTCTGTCCTCGATTTAGCTTCCGGATTCCATCAAATTCCCATGGCTTCCAAGGATGCTCCCAAAACTGCTTTTTCAACTCCTTATGGACATTACCAATTTAAAAGAATGCCCTTCGGTTTAAAAAACGCCCCTGCAACATTCCAAAGGTTAATGGATAATGTTCTCTCCGGATTACAGGGTAATGAATTATTTGTATACATGGACGATATTGTCATATATGCAAGATCATTAAAAGAGCATGAAATTAAATTTAATAAGTTAATGCAAAGATTACGAGATGCGAGCTTAAAATTACAACCGGATAAATGTGAATTCTTACGACATGAAGTAGCTTATCTCGGACACATAATCGGATCTGACGGAGTTAAACCTGATCCGAATAAAATAAAATCTATAGCTGAATTTCCCGTGCCAAGAACCGCGAAAAATATTAAGCAATTCCTGGGTTTGGCCGGATACTACAGACGATTTATTCCAAATTTTTCTAAAATCGCCAAACCACTAACCGACTTACTAAAGAAAAATAATACTTTTAACTGGCATTTACACCAAGCAGAAGCATTTAATACGGTAAAACTCTCCTTATGCTCCGAACCCATACTCCAATATCCTGATTTTATTAAACAATTTATCCTAACTACCGACGCATCAGGATATGCTATCGGAGGAGTATTAAGCCAAGGACCAATTGGAAAAGATTTACCAATAGCCTATACCTCTCGTATTTTAAACGGTGCTCAACAATGTTATTCCACAATTGAAAAAGAGTGTTTGGCAATAGTTTACTACGTTAACCATTTCCGGCCTTATTTATACGGAAAAACGTTCATCATCATAACTGATCACAAACCATTAGTTTGGTTTCACTCAATTAAGGATCCTTCCTCTAGATTGTGGAAATGGAGAACAAAACTAGCTGAATATGAATATGAGATACAGTATAAAAAAGGAAGTTTAAATAATAATGCCGATGCCTTATCTAGAAATCCTCCTGCCAATTGTGTTGTACCTTTTTTCGCTGCTAATAACTCCGATGATTCCTCTAACAACTCGATTTCTTCCGAACGTCAAAGACCCGACGTGATTGAAGATGCGTTATCCCCACTATCCGAATTTTCTCCGTACAATTCACAATCTGAAAATGACGAACCTACGTTAGAACAACGTAATATAGTAATACAAGAATATTCTAGTGATAACGACGAGGATAACGACGAGCTGATGATAGACAATTCAGACTATAGCGAAAATCACATATACGAAGAAATTTTTGATGTTAACGAAGAATATCAAAAACTCGATCAACTCGTTATTTCTGAAACCCGGGACAGTTTACTAAAACAAGCAGACAACCACGTAATATTTATTTATTCAAATGGAACCCCTTTCGATAACGGTGCCAAAGAATATCAAACCGCAAATCTATTACCAGAATTTCAAGAGCTTACTTATGAAAGAGCTAATGTAAAAACCTTCGGTCAAAGGACCTTAATATCAATTCCCATTAAGCTCGATAATCGAGCAGAAGCTCAATCATTAAAAAACTGCATGCAATCACTTTTAGATAGAGAACCTCTAGGAGAGAGAATGGACAACTGATCATGTGATCAAGCCTTTTCATGATTTGACTGGCAGAAAATGTATCAATTTTAGCTATTGCGATGCCAATGCAAAATATGATGACACAAATAGGTTATATCTCGAGCATAAAAGATGTCAAAGTCGACTGATTACTTAATAATAATCATTTTTAAATAGAATTTTTTACTTATTATAAAAGTTTTGATAAAATAGGAGGTAAGTGTTTATTAATAAAAATTATAAATAAACTTTGATTTTAACAAAGGTAACAAATACAATAATATATATATTGTGATATTTAATCTTTGTGTTATAAACGCTTTTATTGATTGCCATACTAATTTAACAAGGTATAAACAAAAAATATTTATTGATTGTGATATTACTTCAACAATTGTTATAATAATAGGTTACTTCTAAAATTGTTATAATAATAGGATTTGTACAAAAATTTGCCACAATTTTTTACAAAATTACTGTTTTCTATTTTGTAATATGTTTTGAAGAAGAGAAACAATTGTTCTCAAGGTATCGTTTTCTCTCCGTATTACTTCTATTAAATCCTTCTGTTTATCATCCGATACTTCATTTTTTTTATGTCACGAGGAAGATGTAGAACACAATAATCATTTTGTTTTCTCTCTCGCTGATAAGGACAACTTTTATAATTCTGCTTCTTTCTTAATTTTTTATAGTTCTCTTGATTCTCCAAAAAAACATGTGCAAAAACGAGAAGGAACTGAGCCAAATTTTACTCGTTTACGTTTAGCAACGAATTCAATTTCTGATGTAAAAATCTAAAGATCTATCTAAAGATAGAAAACCACATAAATGTACTTTGACCTCCAACAATAAAATATATTGTTACATCTATTTATTCTTTCAAACTCCAAAATCAGAGCACATTGCTATTAACCTCGCAAAGTTTTTGAGAATTACTGGGTAACCAATTTTTGCCTCTTCCAACTGCAGCAATCCATTTTTGCTTCAATATTTTATCCTGCGGATATCTAAATAAAGAATATGCTTGATTACTATTATTAAAACATTTGTATGCAGAGCAACTCGACGGCATAGTAAATAACGTTTTCTGTAATAAAACAATAAATTAACTGACAACAAATTTTGTGTCATCAAATTAACAGATATTCCAACATTTATTACAAAAATAATCCTGCTAACAATAAATATATACTTTCGACACGTCTAAACGTACCTTTGTTAAAATCAAAGTTTATTTATAATTTTTATTAATAAACACTTACCTCCTATTTTATCAAAACTTTTATAATAAGCAAAAAATTCTATTTAAAAATGATTATTATTAAGTAATCAGTCGACTTTGACATCTTTTATGCTCGAGATATAACCTATTTGTGTGTCATCATATTTTGCATTGGCGTCGCAATAGCTAAAATTGATACATTTTCTGCCAGCCAATCATGAAAAGGCTTGATCACATGATCAGTTGTCCATTCTCTCTCCTAGAGGTTCTCTACTTTTAGACGTAGTGACAGAATTACAATTAACCTCATTCAGTATTAGGAAAACCGATCATTTTGACGACTTACCGTGGCACCATATAATAAGTCGAATTCAAGCATATTTAAGAGAACTACCGCTTTGCATTACTATTTGTAAAAATTTGGTACAAATTCCTCCTGTTGAACAATGAGAAGCATTAATAATAGAGAATCATGCGTCAGCACACGGTGCACATAAAGGCATCACTAAGACGTATAATCGACTAAGACCTCATTATTATTGGAGCACCATGAAAAGGAATATACAAAATTTTATTCAAAAATGTCGTCAATGTCAATTAAAGAAATTAACGCGAATAAAAACGAAACAACCCATGATAATTACAGACACTCCCGGCTCAGCATTTGATAAAGTATCCTTACATATCGTAGGCCCCCTTCTTATCACAACTTCCGGATATCAATATATTCTAACTATGCAAGATTTATTAACAAAATATTCAATAGCCGTTCCGTTAAGAGACGCGACCTCCCTATCCATAGCTGATGCTTTCGCAAAGAACTTTATTTGTGTATATGGAGCTCCTAAAGCTATTCTTACAGATCAAGGGACTAACTTTTTATCCGCCCTGATACGTAATTTAATAAAAAAATTCAAAATTCAACATTTTAAGACCACAGCTTATCACCCACAATCTAACGGGTCGATCGAAAGATCACATCATGTATTAGTAGAATATCTAAAAACTCAAATTTGTAAAGAAAAGGAATGGGATAATTATATTAATATGGCAATGTTTTCATACAATACCAGTGTCCATGAAGGAACTAAATTCTCACCTTTTGAATTAGTCTTCGGTCATATAGCACGATTACCTTCTGCTTATGTACCAATCGATGCAAATCTTGAACCCACTTACCAAGATTATTTGACAAATTTATTTAATCAAGTTTGTGACCTGCAAGAAGAAGCACGTCAAAATCTTATAAAATCTAAAGAGAAAAGCAAACATTATTACGATAAAAGGTTGAACCCTCAAAATTTTCGCGAAGGTTCGCACGTATTCTTACTAAAGGAACCCGCGAAGGGGAAATTCTCTGACCAGTATACTGGACCCCATAAGATTATAGAAGTTTTATCTCACGGCAACGTAAAAATTATGGTTAAAAACAAACCGCGAATTGTGCATGTCAATAAATTAAAAATTTCCCACATTGAACCCGGATGATAAACTAATACACTATCTTTGGTTTCAGATACATTGGCTTCGCCAAACAAAATGTTACCTTTTCTTTTATCTTGTATCATCACTCTCCTTTCTTTAACATATTAAATCCACGATTATCCATTTCATTATAATCAACTTCACTGCCCTTATACTAGATGAATTTTACCTCTCTTCTAAAATCCAACTTTCCCTCACTACCGTTTAAATCCAAAGAAATATACAAACATGCAATTTATCATTAATCTCAAAATCGTAACGGTATCATACTCTTATTATATAATACTAAATCACGCAAATCGTATACCTCTTTGTTTATAATGAGGAACGTCCGTATCGGGTATCAATCCGTCAAACGTCGAGTATCAATCCGTTTGTTAAATTATAGAATTCGAATTTCCTCAGTAAAGAAAATTTGTGAAATTGAGAAAGGAAATAAGAAAGGATGTGACTATGGTAGACGAAAAAAAAACAAACAAAAGAAGCACTTGAGAATGAATGAGAGCGTGTCGAATTACGGGTCAAACCAAAATGTAAACGATGATAGAGACAAAACCTAACATTCGGGGATAGAAACAGGTCAGTACGTTACCGGGAAGCTCAGAGAAAAGACGCAAGGAAAACGCCCTACTATCGAAATAAAGTAAGGAAAATAAATCGATAAATAAAATTAAGTTAATAGTAATTAAATAGTAAAAGAAATTACCTATCCTTTTTAGAATGTGTATCCCAGTAGCATACAAACCTAAAATCCACCAATTACTGCGAGATTTTCCTGGGTTATACGTGGCAAAATGTGTGCAAAGGATCGGAGAAAAAGTACCAGCCGATGGCAGCATATATTGCCATGATTGTCCCCCAAGGGGCTATTCTCTTGAACCTTTGTTGAGGGCCCTTCGCGAACCTTTCCACAGCCACGAATTTATTGAAGGAGTCAAGGCTTCGCATGCAGGAATCAGACTTATTGAAACAAAAACCCAACCAATCCTTTCATACGAACAGTGCTTCGATGCTTATACTACGGCACATCGCATATTAAGTGAACAGCACGATTTAAATAATTTAAGCTTACTTCGTTACGATGTAGACGAAGATCATGTAGTAGAATTAATAATAGCACCCGAACTTCCTCCCCCTGAAAATATGGATGAAATTCGGGAGAATCTTTTAGAATTCGACAATGTATAACTACTAATATAACTATTAGCATAACTATTAATAAGTATATAAGTATATTTTTATTATCAACATCATGAATACATATATATATATATATTAGTATAATTGTGAAAAAAAAAAATAAATAAATAAATAAAAATATATACATATAAATAAAAAAAAATATAATATATATATACCTACACATATAACCATAGAGCATTAATTACTTTCATTATTATCGTACCCCTACTTTAATTGCTTAAGGGGGAGGTGTTACGTCCCCCGCGTTAAAATTTTACCCACTTCAGATAAAATAAATAACTACTGTACCGATACTAAATCTTGACCACACCGTCTTAAGCTAAAATATAACGTTATCGACCGATCCTCAAGCGAGTTCACAAACACGCCGAAAGATGGCCAAGACAAGTTACCCCCACCACCGGAAAACACCTCCACGGGTTCAACCCTTTCCATCCCTGACCCGCACAAACCGAGGGACCTCGAGTCAGTCGCAAAAATCAGCACTTCTATCTCGAGCGCCGAGCGAGCCACTTCTCTTCCAGAAGTGCTCCTCAGACCCGCGATATTAATTCCACTGCGTTGCTATTCCGATCGTATTTCTATTTCCAACTTCGTTACCATCTCCGACAATTCATAGTGATTCTACTACTTCTCTCGATTGCGATACTACTACCGTTCATATTATATACTATATCCAGCATCCGCGCCGATAGCTCTCGAACCAACTCGATATTTGTTTTAATCTAACATCGTAAGTAAATAAAACTGTGAAATATATATATATATATATATATATATATATATATATATATATATATATATATACGAGGGTTGCTCCGAAAGTTTTGCGACTCGGCAGCACTGGCGTTGCTAGGTAAAATCTAACACCACCAACAAAAAGCTTGATAGTTTGGCAGATTTTTTTACTCGAACGCTGCTTGTATTATTTACAGTTACTTGAAAATTGTATCACAGCGAAAAAATGGAATTAACAGAGAACTACGAGAACACTTTCGTGCGATGATTTTTTACGACTTTCGACGTGGATTATCGAGACAAGAATGCATCGATCAACTTGCTTCCACTTTTGGCAATGAAGCACCACACAAGGCCACTATTTGT